AGAAAAGTTTTTTTTATTTCATGAAAAACTTCAAAGATAATAAAGAAAATTCTCATTTATTTCACACCCCAATTTCCCCTATTAGCATCTTATGATTATTATTTTTATTTTATTCATTTATTTTTGGGGTACCGGGAAATGAACTCAGGACCTGGTGCTTGTGAGGCAGGCAGTGGCACCACTGAGGTAAATCCCCCCATCTTATATTATTAATTTGGTACATTTGCTGCAACTAATGAGCCAATATTGATAAATTATTTTTAATTAAAGTTTAAACTTTATTCAGATTTCCTTAGTTTTGACAGTGACCTTTTTTCATTAATTTTATCGGTACATTTCAGGTATACAATATGCTGACATTCTTTATTGTGATCTTGTATCTTTATATATCTTGGTTCTTATTTTTTTCCCCAACCCCTCTACTCCTCCCTTTTTACAAAGACTTTGTTTCTGTTTTTTGCCTTTTCTCATATTTCTTTCTTTTCTTCTTCCTCTCCCATTTCTTTTTTCTTTTCTTTTCTTTTGGGGGTGGGGTACCGGGGATTGAACTCGGGCCCTTGCGCTTGCGAGGCAGGCGGTGGAACTGCTGAGCTAAATCCCCGGCCCCTTTCCCTCCCATTTCTCCTTCCCCTTCCTCTTTGGACATTTTGTTTCTATTTCACATTATCTTATACATTTTGATCCTTATCTATACTTCAGTTTCTCACACCAGAGAAACTGTTCAGTATTTACACATGTGTGTCCTATTTATTTCACTTAAGAATATAGTCTCAATGTACATCCATTTAGCTATGTCTCTAGTTTCTCATTTTTATGGCTGTGTAGTACTTCCCCATATATATATATATATATATATATATCCACATCTTCTTTTTCTGTTCTAGGATTCTATCCCAGACACTAGGTTACCTTTAGTAGTGATGTTTCCTTGGGCTACTCCCAGCTGGACTTTCCTGTGATTCTCTGTTTTTGATAAGCTTGACGGTTTTGAGGAGTAATGGTTAGTGATTTTGTGAAATGTTCCTCCACTGGGATTTGTCTGATATTTTCCCCATAATTAGACTGGGGTGATAGGCCTTGGGGAGGAAGGTCACAGAGGTAAACTACCATTCTTGTCATATCCTATCGAGACTATGCATTAGGAACATGGTTCACGGCTGCTGACATTGACCTTGATCACTGGGCCAAGGCAGTATCTGCTAGATATCACCACGTCTTTCTCCCTCTCCATACTATGCTCTTTGGAAAGAACTCACCACCCAGCCCTCCAGCTTAAGAGGAGGTATGCTCCACCTCTGAAGGGAGAATTATAAATTATTTGGAATTCTTATGAATGGGAGACTTTTCTCTTTTTGCAAATTTATTCACACAATCATTTAATGATATCAAGATGGACTCCTGGATATTTACTTTATACATTGGTTATAATTCAATATTAGGATTTGTTTATATTTCAGTGTTACAGTTTATTTCATTTCTCATATTGTGCCAGCATTGGCCACTGGGACCCTGGTATCCTTTTTGACATATGCCTATCATTATATTTTTGTTTGAACACTCGTCTTCTGGCACTATAAGATGCTCTGTGCTTATTTTATATATTTTCTGCCCACCTATATGTAATCTTAGAATTATTCCTGGAATTACTTATTTCTCTAAGGAACCCTGGTTCCTTTTGTTGGAAAATGGTACGTGAAGCCAATGGCACTAGATTAGTTTTAATTCTATTTCTAAATTATAGTTTGCATTTCCTTGACTTTTTGTTTTGTTTTTTGAGAGAGGGTCTCACTATGTAGTTGAGACTGACCTAGAACTCACTATGTAGCCCAGGCTGGTCTTGAAATCACAGTGATCTTCCTGCCTCAGCCTCCCGAGTGCTGGGATTACAGGTGTGCGCCACCACGCCCGGCTCCTTGACTTTTACAAAGGGATATATTTTAGAAATTGAGAGCATAGGCTTTATGGTCTTTAGATCTGGGTTCAAATTCCTTATCAGGCACTAACAATATGATCTTGGGCAGCAGCTAATCTTCAATCAGTTTTAATATCTAAGTCTATAAAACGCGGCTATGGATAGTATGTACTTTGTAGGATTGTTCGGAGGATTAAATGAGAGCACACACTGGAGTGCTTCGCAGAGTGACTAACACATGGTCAGTGTTTGGGAAATAGAGCTGAATTACAGTGAAACTTTCCTTGATGAATGAATCTTTACTGAACAGCAAGTGTGATAGGCTGTTAACAGAAGAGTAGGAAGCAATGAGCAGGGACCCAGGGGTAAATGTGTATGCATTCATTTGGTGAGTCAGGAGCTCTTATCTGACTTCTTGGGTGAGTGAATCTTTCTCATAAAATTGGAGCAATTGCTCATGACCACTTGGTTTTCGGGGCAGTGTGCAGTTGTTCTTTACTGCGAAGTCAAACAGTACTCGAAGATCCACTTTGCCTTCTTGAGGGTACTTCTTATGTTCCAGGAGACCCTCTTTCTCTCCTTTTCCTGCTTTTTTGCTGCCACTTACCAGCCATTTGAAACTACTCATAGGTTCTTTATTGCTAGGGTATGGTACCGTCCTCATCTCCTTCTGAGATCTTATTTTCCTTCTGCCCTTTTGCACAGTTTGTTGCTATGAAACTTACTAGAGTAACTGTGCATATGAAAAGACGATAGTGGCTAACATTTCCTTTTTTTGTATTTTAAATGATTCCAAGTATGTACATTTCCTACCTGATGGCTTGTTGTATATTCATCTGCATTAACACTGCACGTGGGGAACATTTTGCCTTTTAGTATAAACCAGCTACATAGGAAGGGGGGAACAGAAAAAAAAGTAAATACATTCTGACACTTTAACTCTGCTTTTCTTTGTGTGAGTTCTATATTTATGTAGCTGTGGTATTTTTATGCTCTCTATAGTTCTGAAATTATTTTTCCATTGAGACATAAAGGAATGGTCTACATTGAAGGGAAAAAAAGACCTATTTAACAAAGATTTTATTTCATGGAAGGCTACAATTGGAACATTAAAATTTTGTCCTTAATCTGGTTAATCTTTGGGATCAGGTAAACATTACTGAAAAGGATTGTTTTATTCACAATTGAGGAAACATATTATACTCAGAATTGAGTTCTCAATAGAGCCATAAATGTTCTTGGTGTCATCAGACTTACTGTTTTTTTCTCCAGTTCCATACTGTATTTTAATACTGACTGCTTTAACAATGTGTACCTACTCCCTCCAAAAGTATTCCCGGTCTGATCAATTTACTCTTCCTGATTACACTTTTAGGTTTTACAGTAGGTTAGGGATCCAACAAAGCAAAACAGTAACATAAAAGAATAAAACTACAAACTTGTATTTGCTATTAGGAAATTTTTGGTAATATCTTCCATGGGAAGTCCGTTTTTTGTTTTTTTTTTTTTTTTTTTTTTTTTTTTTTTTTTTTTTGGTACTGGGGATTGAACTGAGCCAAACCCCTGGCCCAAGTCAGAGTTATTTTAGGCTCACATTTTCAGTTTTTAAAAAACTTTGATTATAGTGGTGCATGTGGGCAGGAAAGAGGATTTCTCCTGTAATCTTTCCAGAGCTTAGCACCTCAAAGTCTTGCCCCAATCCTGCCTCTGACCTTTTTTTGCCTGGAACCACCCAGATATTTAGTTGTGAAAATCTACAACTTAACATGATTTCTCAGTTTCACAAGATGTGACTGCTTCTTATTAGGGGGAGGGAGGACATCTGATGCATTGTAGGGTGCGCTGACACTTTATGCTAACTCTTTCCAAATCACTCACAGAAGAGTTTGTCAAAGTGGCAGAAAGACAAGAACCCAGAACTGTGGTAATAGTTAAGATCCAAGCTTCATTGGAAGATATGACTTATTTCTCTCAAGATTCTTGACAGAATTCCTAGTGAGAGGTAGCAGGGGCAGGGCAGGGCAGTCTGGACTGGAAACCCAGAGCAAACTTAGGAGTTCACTCTGGATCTGCCTCTAATTTGCTGAGTGTGAATCTGAGCAAATCCTGTACTCTTCCCGGACAAGCATTTCTTTTATCTTTAAAGGAAGAGTTTGGGCCAGGTGATCTCCCAAAGCCCCGTTCTCTGTTTCTGGAACTTGTGTTTTACTAGAGAAAGAAGAAAGCTCATGTCATAGATCATGTATGGGAGGGATATCTGAAAAACTAATGTGGTATAGGCCAACCAGTTTCTCTTTTACATTACTGCATTATTTTTATTAATGTGAGGATCACGACACAAGCTAGCAGTTACAGAGGGTTTTCTACATACTAAGCTATATACTAGCACTTTACAGGAAATATCTAATTTAGTTCTTACAATACACTGATAAACATTGCCACTGTGTTTCCATTTACAGATAAGTAAACTGAGGTTTAAAAGATTTAATTTGCCCAAGGTTGCACAACAATGCAATACCTGTTCTCCTAACCACTGTGATTGGGACAGAGCTAGGCTCTGGCTTAAATGAAAAGTCTGAACTCAAATTCTGACTGTGCCACTGTGAATCTTGGATAAGTTACTTAACCTGCCACATCTCAGCTTTCTCATCTTTAGAATGGGCTTGAGAGTGGGGCCTACTTTATGAGGCCGCTGTGAGGGTTAAACGAGCTTACTAGGGCATGTCCTTAGAAGAATGGCTGGCACAGAGTGAGCTCTAAATAAGGGTTTGCTGTTACTACTATTACTACTACTGCTATGAGTATTGCTGCTGCTGCTGCTATCCCAGACAGCTGTGGGGCTCAGGGTTTAGCACAGCAGGTGCAGCACCGGCTTCTGCGAAGATCTAAAACAGGATTTGGGCAAAGACAGTCTGCTGCGGCTGGTGCACAGTCGGTAAGTGGGGTAGGAGGACAGCCGGGGATGCTGGAGAGGGCAGGAATACCGCGGGCGCCAGGCCGTTCGTCTTGGGTGCCGTGTCTTGCCGAGAGCAAGGTGTCTTCACCAGGAGCGAGTGTGTTAACAAGCTTGTGTCTCCTTTTCACCCAGGGGTGCCCCGAAGATGCGACATCCTCACCGTCTACAGCCCGGACGCCGAAGAATGGTGCCAGTACCTGCAGGACCTTTTCCTGTCCAGTCGGCAGGTCCGCACCCAGAAGATGCTGACGCACAGGCTGGGCCCTGACGCCTCCTTCTCAGCCGAAGACCTGCTGCTCTTTCTGGGCGCCCGCTGCGTGGTGGTGCTGCTCTCGGCGGAGCTGGTGGAGCACTTCTACCGGCCCGCGCTGCTGCCGCTGCTGCAGCGGGCGCTGCACCCTCCGCACCGCGTGGTCCGGCTGCTCTGCGGGGTGCAGGGCGCCCCGGAGGAGTTCCTGCCCTTCTTCCCCGACTGGGCCCTCTGGCAGGAGCTCACCTGTGACGACGAGCCCGAGGTCTATGTGGCCGCGGTGAGGAAGGCCATTTCCGAAGGTAAGGACTTCTGGGTGGAGACAGTCCCAGGCGTCTTTTATGCTAACCCCTACTTTGTATTGTAAACCAGGAGGGAGTTCGCTGGTCATATCGAGACTGGTCATAGTTTAGAGCAGCTGACTTCTGGGATGGGATATTTTCCTCTTCTGCCCCCGGGAGAGGAAGGGGACTCGTTCTCTTGTGCTCTGTGCTAGGGGAAAAAGCTGTCTTTCTAGAATTTTCTAATTGGAAAGATGCGGGACTCAAGGTTCCGGTGCAGGGAGTGGAAGAGAAGGGCAGAAGAAACTTAGTTTGCTGTGGGTGTGAGGAACAAGCGAACCTCCTGTTCACATGCCACTTTTATTTTATCCTCACGTGATCTTAGCATTTTTGTTGAAAAGATGGCACTTTTGGCGATGTGTATAGAAAACGGCCCTCTTCTCACTTTCCTACCAGCCTAGCTTCTGTCTTTTGTTCTGCTTCTCCTTTTAAAGTAGAAGTAGCCAATCCTTTCTGTCAGGGCTAGTGACTTCAGTGGCCCCAGAAAGTGTGACATCCTGATTAACAGTAGCAGAAGATGCACTCTGGGATGAGTGCATGTCACATCAGCTCTTCCTCTTTTGGTTTTCTATTTTTGCCTCACTGTGGGCTGAGTGAGTTATGTATTTATTGTCTGGTCTCTTGCCACTGGAGACCTTATATACCTGACACCAGCCAAGGAGCTTAGAAAAATGTAGGTCTAATTTGATGTTGCCTCAATGATCCCTGGTGTGACTCGGGCCTTACTTTGCTCACCTGCTCATCCATCTGATGAACTGAATGAAGAATTTACTAATTTCAGTGACCTTCGAGAGGCCATGGTGGTGCACGCCTATAAATCACAGCATTCTTGGAGGCTGAGGCCAGAGGATCACAAGTTTGAGCCAAGTCTGGGCAACCTAAGACTTAGGGAGACCTTGTTTCAAAATAAAAAATAAAGTAAAAAAGGGCTGGGGACATAGTACAGTGCAAAGGCCCTGGATTCTATCTCCAGTAAAAAAAAAAAAAAAAAAAAAAAGAGAGAGAGAGAGAAGATGTAGCTTCTCAGGTGCTTAGGTGCTTTTATCCCAGGAATAAGCTGCTGTAAGCCAATAAAAGTGGCCAGATCTCTTAACATAGTGAAAATCCTTCTCACCTTATAGTACAGATAACTAATATTCACGCAAAAGATGTCTCATCTGAAATGCCAGAGACCTGGATTAGTTATTTTTCTAGAGTTTGCTTGTCTTATTTGAGAAGGACATAAGGATAAAAAAGCCACAGGATCCAGTGCACATGATTGCATTTCCTTGCTTTCAGGGAACTGTGATATGCCTAAACTTACAGAGAACTGAGACACAACTGGTGTTTCCGTCACTGCAGCAGTCCATTATGATTTCCAGGGCAGGCCACTGCGACCCACCAACTACCTAATCACTCAGAGCTCTGTGGATATATTGTCCCTGTGCTGGAACCTCACACTGTGCACTCTGACAGATTGTTCTTTAAAATATTGTGGTGGTGAGATTTTTAAAAATAGAAAAGGGCTGTGGGTGTAACTAATGGTAGAGTATATACTTAGCATGTATGAGGTCCTTAGCTCAATCCCCAGCACAAAATAGAGAGAGAGAGAGTAGTAAAAAGGATTCTTTTATTATTTTTGGGTGTATCCAGTGAATGGATGCCTGGATAAATTAATTTCTGCTAATATTTTACCTTTTCTAAAGACTCTGGCTCAGTATGCTGTGAACCTTTATCTTCAAGTGTTTCAGAAAGAATGAAATATTTCACAGTAGTGTTTCTGCTCCGAGAGCAAATAACCTGTCATCAGAAAGAGATTATTTTAATGGAGGATTAAAATAAGCTGCTTAGTGAGAAATTGCTTCAGTTCAGAATCAATGAATATAAAGACCAATGGATTATAGGAAAGAGAAGAGAAGGATGGAAATTACATTAAAAGTGCTTACAGGTAGTCAGTTACACTTTTAAACAAGTCCTTCTTAAACTTCCATGTGCATAGGAAGACCCCAGGATCTTTTCAAAATGTATATTCCAACTCTGAATGTCTGTGTAAAGATCAAGATCTGTGAGGTGTTTTGTTTTGTTTCATTTCATCTGTGTGGCACTAGGAATTGACCCAGGGCCTTTGCACTGAGTTATGTCCTAGACCTTTTCTTTTTTATTTTCAGACAGGGTGTGACTAAGTTGCCCAGGCTGGACTCAAACTTTCCATTCTCCTGCCAGAGTGCTGGGATTACAGGCACACACCGTTGCAGCTGGCATGAGACTCAGTGTTTTTAACAAGCTACCAGCACCTGCTGGTAAGGGTCTAAGCCAACTCTCCCTTGTCAGTGGTTATGTACTTCTGCTGTGCATAAACCATTTTCTCAAATCCGACTAGCATCATATTGGGGTAGCTTCTGAATGCCTGTCAGTTTAGGTATAAAATTAAGCCAGTGTTTGGTGGTTAGGCCCTTAGACTTCAGGATAGAGCCCCTGACTTCTCTTTTTCTGCTCACAAATTCAACATGTTCACTCTGACAGCTTTTAATCTCTCAGCTTTTTGGATGTAAGTGGTCCTGACACTGGGATGAGGACACTACTGCCACCTTCATGCTTATTCCTCCCTGTAATGGGCCTCTTGATCTTTCTACTGTTCCACTAAAATATGTTTAAGAGATTTTATTTTATTGCGCCTACCCTCCTCTCCAAATTTGGCAGCCACCTTAAAATCAAACAGATGTTTTCATTGAAAACTTCAGTGTGTTGCAGCTGCCAGTTTATATACCAAGTTCTTCATCTGTAAAATGATGGAGTTCGACCAGATAATTTGGAAGATTTCTCCCAGGTTTCCCCCAGCCTCTCGTGCTGTAATGTATCATTATAAGTTTCCTAAGAAGATGGCAAATTACCCAGAACCTTTCAGATGATTTCGTTTAGTTCTAAAATGTCTACAGTGATATATATACCAGTGTGTAGAAGGTTGTACTATTGTTCTGAATTTCTTGGACTTGTAGGGTGATTATTTTCAAATAAGAAAGTGAAAAACACCCAGGTACAGCATAGCACAGCAATTATTTCCGCTTTTTACTGGAGGTTTATTCTTTGCTGCAAATCTCACTGGAATACAAAAATAGAGTCTGTGAGACTGTGTGAGAAAGGACTCACTGGGTAATATCAAGCTTTATTTTAAAAGTTTTTGTCTGATGCCTGTAGACCAAAGCTATGTGGAGGCTGACACAGGAAGGTTGCAAGTTCACGACCAACCTGGACAATGTAGCAAGAGTGTGTCTCAAAATTTAAAAAATAAAAATGAAAAAGGGCTGGGGATGTAGTTCTGTGGTAGAGCACCCCTGGGTTCCACCTCAAGTACTGAAAAAAAGAGCTTTCATCCGAGTGCTAACGGTTGTGTGTATGCATGTGCAGAAGGGCGGAGGGCAGAGGGGAGCAGTAAGCCTGCCTCTCCCCTCCACTCTGGCCTCACATGCAGACCTCTTCTGCTTCTTTGTTTCCATTATTTTATGCTTACTCTCCTCAGTCCTCCCCATGCCCTTTGTGTTTCAGGAGCTCTGGTGGTTCTCAAAATTATAATGTATTTCACTTCTGGTTCCCTTGGGGAAATTTTAGAGGAGTGTATCCACATCTGACCTTCCGTTGTTACTAATTTTTAAATCTTCAAATTAAACTGGAGCTGAAAAGAAAAACAATGGGTATTTTCAAATTGCTTTCAGCTCATCAGTGGACTCCCAAATCTTTTCCTAAACTTATTTTTTTTAATCTTTCCCATTTTATTGAGGGCTGGGAATTTAGCTCAGTGGTGCTGCTGCCTGCCTCGGAAGTGCAAGGTCCCAAGTTCGATCCCCCTGTACCAAAAATAATAATAATAATAATAAAAATAAAAAAATAAAAAAACAACCCTTTGAATCCCCATTTTATTGAGGTATAATTGACAAACAAAAATTGAGTATATTCAGGGTATATAATGCAATGATATGAAATAAGTTTACATTGTGAAATGATTGCCACAGTCAAATGAATTAACAAATCCAGCTGGGTGTGGTGACGCACGTCTGTAACCCCAGCACTTGGGATGCTGAAGCAGGAAGATTACTTGAGTTTGAGGCCAGAGTGGACTGCATAGTGAGTTCAAGGCTAGCCTTAATTACAGAGCAAGACCTCTTCTCAAAAAAACCTAAAAAAACACATCGATCACCATCGTAATTGCCACTGTGTGTGTCTGTGTTTTTACAAGTGTTCTATTTTCTCTAGTCTCCTCTTAGCAAGTTTCAAGTACACAATATGGCATTATAAAAATATGGTGTTATAAACTATTCTCACCATGCTGTGCATTAGACTCCCAGAATTTATTCATTTTAGGACCGAAAGTTTAAGCCCTTTGACCAATGTCCCCCTCTTTCTTTCCCTCCTCCATCCATAGCAGCCATCATTTTCCTCTTTGCTTCTGTGAGCCTGACGTCTTTAGATTCTGCATGTAAATGAGATCATGCAGTATTTGTCTACCTGCTTATTCCACTAAGCATAACATCCTCCAGGTTCATGCATTTTGTTATAATGGTAGGATTTTCTACCTTTAATGGCTGAATAATATTCTCATATAATTTTTCTCTAATTTAAAAAGAACATTTTCCAAAATAAAATATTAAAAACAATGCTAAAAAAGAAAACAAAATTACTTGTAGTTTAAAATTTTGACCTTTCTATCTATAAATAATGATGCAACAAATCTTCATGCAACTTTGTGAGCCTCTGTTGATTTCTCCTGATCACATCTCTTTAGAGCTCAGGAGACAGGGCTGCAAGCTTGCTTTGTGAATCTCTCCGCCTTCCCCATGGTCAATCCAGGCCCTTCCTCTTGTAGTTTTCGTTATTGAAGTTAATTTTTTTCATCTTTTTATGTCTGGTTCAGTTCATTATTTACATTTACAAAGATGCTCAAATGGAACATTACTGCACCCTTCTTCCTCTTGTGGGAAGAGCTCATA